GAATAGGACGGGCCTGCAGGAAGCTTGTGACAGTGAGAGGCCACACGGGGACTAAGCGTAGTGCCTGGCTCATAGGAGGTGCTCGCTGGGTCCCATGGGTGCCCAACAGCACGTGCTGGGCAAACACTGGTGGGGAGGTGGGGCAGACCCGAGTCACAGTGGCTGGGGAGAGAGGAGGACGGGTAGGGCAGGGCTCCCCCACCTGCTGACCCCGTGCCCTCGCTGCCCGCAGGCTTCCTCATCTTCCTCTGGTACTGGTCCATGCGGCTACAGGCCCGGGGTGGCCCCTCCCCTCTGAAGAGCAACTCAGACAGCGCCAGGCTCCCCATCAGCACGGGCAGCACCTCATCCAGCCGCATCTAGGCCTCCAGCCCACCTGCCTGTGTGAGGAAGCACAGATGCGGCCTCGCTGCACACTGACTGTGGCCCCCGAGCCAGGCCCAGCCCCAGGCCAGTCAGCCAGACACTTGGGAAGGCCCAACGACCATGAGAGATGGGCTGTTGCCGTGGTGGACGGACTCCCGGGCTGGGCTTTTGAATTGGCCTTGGGGACTACTCGGCTCTCACTCAGCTCCCACAGGGCCCAGAAGCGCACCGCCATGCTGGCTAGGGGACTGTCCTCACATCTGTCCTAACCCGGGTGGAGGCCTGGTCTCTCCTTACAACCCCTGGGTCCAGCCCTTGTTGCTGGGGGGCCAGGCCTTGGATCTTGAGGGTCCGGCACATCCTTAATCCTGTGCCCCTGCCTAGGACAGAAACATGGCTCCAGTTGCTCTGTCTCTCGTGGTTACCCTGAGGGTGCTCTGCATCCTCTGTCATTTTAACCTCAGGTGGCACCCAGGGCGAATGGGGCCCAGGGCAGACCTTCAGGGCCGGAGCCCTGGCGGAGGAGAGGCCCTTTGCCAGGAGCACAGCCGCAGCTCGCCTACCTCTGAGCCTAGGCCCCCTCCCGCCCTTAGCCTCCCAGTCCTCCCTCCATCTTCCCTGGGGTTCTCCTCCTCTCCCAGGGCCTCCTTGCTCCTTCATTCACAGCTTGGGGTCCCCGATTCCAATGCTATGTTTCGGGGAGTGGTTTCCAGGAGCTGCCTGGTGTCTGCTGTAAATGTTTGTCTACTGCACAAGCCTTGGCCTGCCCCGACCCAGGCTCAGGACCGATGCCTGGGCTGGGCTAGGTCCCTCTGTCCATCTGGGCCTTTGTATGAGCTGCATTGCCCTTGCTCACCCTGACCAAGCACATGCCTGAGAGGGGCCCTCAGCCTCTTCTGAAGCCCTCTTGTGGCAAGAACTGTGGACCATGCCAGTCCCATCTGGTTTCCATCCCAGCACTCCAAGGACTGAGACTGACCTCCTCTGGTGACACTGGCCTAGAGTGTGACACTCCTAAGGGATCCTCTCCAAGTCCCGCAAATAGCTCCAGGCACCCTCAGCCGCCCATCATGGTTAATTCTGTCCAGCAAACACACACGGGTTGATCGCTGGCCTGTGCTAGGTGGTAGGGACACAGATGACCGACCTGGACACTCCCCCTGCCAACCCTCAGTCTGGTATGTGAGGCGTGCATGAAGCAAGAGCTCCTGGAGCTACAGGCACGGGGACAGGAAGCCATCATTCCTGGCTGGGAATCCTGGAAGACTTCATGCAGGAGTCAGCGTTTAATCTTGACCTTAAAGATGGGAAGGATGTTCTTTTTACGTACCAATTCTTTTGTCTTTTGATATTGAAAAGAAGTACATGTTCATTGTAGAGAACTTGGAAACTGTAGAGAGAATCAAGAAAAATAAAAATCAGCTGTTGTTATCACCTAGCAAACTGGCGTAAGCGTTTTGGGTCATTTTCTTCTGAGCTTTTTACCAAGCTTCTGTTAAAACAGTCACTGATGCAAATACCTTGAGGCCAATCAGGAAACATGAAAGAGAGAAGAGGGCCGTGTGTGGGGAAAAAAAAAAAAATATCGACTGCTGGAAACCAGGGCAAAGGGGAAGATAAATGTCAACTTGGTGTCTGTGCTGGGGAGGCAATGGGGAGTGGTGAGGTCTGTGGCAAACTGGAGACTCCCAACCCTGTGCTGAGGGGGTGGCTGCTCATCAGCTCCAGCTGGTCACTGCATTGCAGGGATGAGGGCCCATGTAGCCAGATCACCTGCCTTTTATGAGAAATGGGAAATCCAGAATGTGATTTGAAATCCCCTGATTTTGGCGAATCCAAAACATCATCTGGCCAAAGAGATTACAGTGAAAAGCTGCCTGGTCCTGGGATTTATGCAACCAGTTTACTGACCACTCTGCAGCAGGTGGGCTGCAATAATTAAATCACCGGACTTCTCTCCCCTCCCTGCCTTTAACCTTGTTTCACCAAATCAATCTCTCCTCCCCCTCCTAAGGCCCAGGTTAGGCAGATCACACAGGTTCCCATCTTCCCTGTGGTGAGGGCAGTCGCAATGGATCCTTGCCACTGTGTTCAGTGCAGCCAAAGTTCTCCCCAAGGCCCACAGCCCACTCTCTCCCTTCTGTAGGCTCCTCCCTCCTCCCCTGGCCACTCAGCAGGGGAAGAGGCTCAGGGTCTTGGATTGGACAGGCTGGGTGTGAGGCAGCTGGGCCTATACTGGCAGTGCCCTCTGAGGGGCGTGAATGTGGGATTTTGGGACCTGCAGGGGCCAAGAATCCGTGTGCCCTGTGGCTCTCCCAACCCTCCCTCCACTCACTCCACTGACCTCTGTCCCCACCTTTCTGCAGGTGGCGGGGGGGCTCCTCTTATGCCCCCAGCTCCAAAGGACAGAGGCCAAACCTTCCCAAGCCTCCCCTACCCCAGTGTCCGAACTGGGCAGCCCAGGGGGATCAGAGCCAGCTTCCCTCCTTACAGGCCTCTAGGTCTCCATGAGGGTGTCTCTCAGAGCCCCATGGCCGGGTTAGGTCCTGGGGTGGGGGTTGAGGCAACTCCCCCGTCCTCCAGAAGGGAGGGAAAGGACCCAGCCCCCTTCCTCCGCAATTCTCCTGCTTCTCAAACATCTGGTTTCTGCATCTGAGGCTGGCTCAGGTAGTGGGGAGGGGTCTTGGGTTGGGTCTCACCTTCTCGGGTAGGCCCTGGACGGGGCACGAGCAGCTCCGTGCTGATCCTTTCACCCTGATGGTTCTTATCATGCACTTTCCTGGGCTGTGGGGCTTTGGACAGCGGGGCCGCCCTTTCTGCCAGCACGTGGCCAGGCCTGCATCTGGAAACGTCCCTTTAACTTGGGAAATGGGTTGGAGTAGCCGAGGGCTGAATACTGGCTGGGTCTGGCTGGAGGACTTGAGGCCCCGCCCACTGGAGCCATTGGGAGAAGCCGGGGCAGGAGGTGGCAGGAAGGGACACTACGGTTTTGTTGGCCCTGGGGTTGGGGGGAGTCTCAGGGTTCTGTGAGTGGCTCCAGGCTAGTCCTTGGTCCCCATGGGGCCTTTCAGGGAAGGGGTCATAGGAAAAGGTGGCCCTCCTTCCAGCCCTGCCTGACCTTCCCCTGCCCTCCCCCCAGGTGCCCTGAGCCTGCATTCCCAAGTGGGCTGGGTGCTCGGAGTTCCACTGTACTCACCCCCAGACCCTTCTTCACGCACTGGTCCCTGCGAGCCTCTCTGAGGTCCCAGGCGCCAGGATGGCCCGGCACATCCAAGTCCACTGCCCCACCTCACCCCCACCTGCAGCTGGAAGGCAGGTCTGCAGGTCTTCCCGGAGAAGGCTGGCTGGCTGGGTGTGGCGCAGTGGCAGGCCCAGCCATTTATCTGCCTTTGCAGCCCTCCCTGCAGGGGAAGGTTTTGGGGCTCAGGAAGCCCTGGACTCTGACCTGCTGCTCCATGCTAAATTCCCACCTGCTTCCACCCCATGAGTGACCCTGACATCCCCTCCCTACCCCTTCCCAGACCCAAAGGGCTCAGCAGGAGACACTGAGAGGGAGGAAGGGGAAATGGAGGCCAGCGGGGGCCGTGTGGCTCCCCAGTTCGATCCCAAGGCTAAGTAGGGCTAGTGCCAGCCCCGTGGGCCAGAGGGGGATGCCAGCAACCACACACCTTGGCGGGATGCCCTTCACCTTCCAATCTCCAAGTGGCCATGACCTTATCCACAGTGCATCTGTGGGGCCTCCAGAGTTGAAGCCCGAGTGGCTGGAGCCCCAATTCCTTTAGGCTGAAGCCCAGGTGTGTTTGCCACCCGCCCCCACACCCGATCAGTGACCAGCTAGGGTGTGAAGACAACAATTTCACAGATCTGATGATCAGAGGCGATGTCATGGCCACATCCACTGGCTGAGCGGCTCCGCCTGCGTTATCCGTGAGTTCATCACACACCTCCGGGGGCTCAGGGTGACAGACAGTGCATGCAAGGTCACCCAGCCAGGAAGTGGCCAGGACGGATGTCAGTCCAGACCTGACCAGCCCCCGGGGCCACACTCCTGTCTTCCCGCTCCCCTGCCTGTGGGACCGTCCTGTTATCCAGGCTGGTGGGGGAGGCTCAGGCCACAGGGTCAGCTCCTGCTCTCTTCCCACGCCTTCCAGCCTGGTTCAAGCCACAGGCTCCATCCGGGTCTTTGTCCTCATGCCCAGAGCCAGGTTCTGTGCCCAGGTTCTTACAGGTCTCATCAAACCCTGACACAGCCTTAGGAGGCAGCCCCATTGCCATCTTCACTTTACAGAGGAGGAAACTGAGGCTCAGAGAGGCTCCCAGCTTGTGAGAGGAGGGGTCTGAGTACATGCGTCTGATTCCAAAGCCTGTGCTCGTCACAGTTCCCAGGGGTCTGCTCTGAGCCAGGCCTGTATGGCCACCCAGCCTCTGGCCCCATAGATCCACCCCAGTGGGGCCCTGGGGCACATATCTGGGTGGGCTCAGCAGCTCCCTCTGCAGGTGGACCCAGGGTGCGGTGAGACTGGGAGCACTACCCAGTTCCCCACGCTAACCTTTCACAACCCAACCGATGGGGCCATTGAGCAGGAAGGGTGAGAAAGAGGAGACAGGAAGCCAGAGCGGTGGGGCTGCAGGGTGGGGGCAGGCCAGCTCGGCAGAGCCTGGGGCCAGAGGGCCAGACAGCCGCAGGGCTCTGGTGGCGTGGGCAAGGCTGGCCAAGGATGGCGACGCCCAGGGGTCTGGGATCCCTGCTCCTGCTTCTCCTGCTCCCGCTTCTCCTGCTCCCGACCTTAGGTGAGTAGCTGGCTCCTCATCCCCTCCTGCCACACTTGGCCAACCCTGCCCTGCCGAGGGAGGGATCCAGGGACAGACGCAAGGACTAGAGAGGGTGAGGAGTTGGAATGTCTGGGACGTGTCCTCCGAGACCCCCCGTGGCCGCCTCATCACCTCCTCTAGCCCTGTCCCTTTGGGTCAGTCCTTTCCTTCCACTAAACTTTGCTCAGGACTGGTCTCAGGTTCCCTTTGTTGCTCCACAGTGCCCTGGAGATAGGGGAGGTCGGAGGGTGCTCCCTGACTCCCCGACCTGGGCTGTGTCTCCCTGACAGCCCTGGCTCTGGGACAGGGGTCGGCCCTGGGCAGGCAATTCTCCAACTGGCTTGTGGCATCCTGGGGACAGTATTCGGACACTCTGGAAGCTGAGGCCAGGAAAGTCTGTCACCTCGTTCTTCTGGCCCTCTCCTCCTGTACATGTCACCCCACACCGGCTCCCTCTCCCAGTCTCAGCCACGACCCCTTGGTCCTCAGTGGCCTGAGCCAGGATCCACACTCCTCCCTGTCACTCTCCTGTCTCACACACAAACATGTGGTGCATCTCCAGAGGCCGTGGAAGTACCCAGGCCTTGCCTTCACTGGCCTCTCTCCCGGGAAAGCTGTCCCCCTACCCCTTGCCCACCTAGGCGGCTCCACTTACCCTTCTTGGCCTCTGTGGTGTCTTAGCAACCCTCTCAGACAGAGGGAGGTGCTCCCTGTTAGTGCTCCCTCCTCAGTACTCCTGTGTCGGGGCCTGGCGGGCCGCTCTCGTTTTGCTCCTGACTCAGTGAGGGGCCTGCATGTCCATCTCCCTGTGTGTCCAGCGTGTGGTCGCATGACTTTGGCCACACAGATCAACTGCTTTGGGCTTCAAAGAACCGTCTTCTCTTCAACCATTGGGAGATTCAATGGAGTGAATCAGTCCCTGGCTCAAAAAAGGGTGGGAGATGGTAGCACTGTCCTCCTAGTGGCCCCGGGAGGTCCTGGTACAGAGCAGGCCACCGGGCAGCCCTTGATGGATGCATGAATGGAGCCACCGATGGCAGCTGTGACCAGGGCTCATGGGCATCCTCAGGCCCCAGTTGTCATCGCTGGTTGGGTCTTCAAGGCTCCTCCAGGCGATGCTGTTTCCCCCGTGGTGATGTGGGCGCTCTGGTTGGGGCAGAACAGCAGCCATTTGATCGAGCGAGGAGCTTTGAGAGGTCTACACACAGGAAGGTCTACACACTTCCTGTGTGGACAGTGATGTGTTAGTCTCCATTCATCCATTTGCCCATTCATTCATTCAGGAAGCAGCGATGGTGCCCTCTGCTCCTGCTGGTACCACTTGGCCCCTGCCCTCAATAGGCTGACAGTCTGCAGGAGTGACACAGTGTGGTGGGGACTCGCATGTGAGACCCAGCTGTTAGGACTGAGCAGGGGTGGATGCAATGGAGGGTCTGGCATGAAGGGACACATGACAAAGGTGTGGGCAGAGCACGGGGAGCAAGGAGGGTGGTCGCTGGGCAGGCTGGCACCTGGGGCAGCCTTCAGCACCGTGAGGTCTAAAGGGCCCAGGAGGGAGTGGACCCCTGGGCTTCTGGAGCCAGACTGTGGCTGCAGGAGGGAAATGGCGGTGGTTTGCTCGTGGTGAGCCAGCAGGGGCTGAAGGAGCCATGCGGGTTGGGGGTGAGTGCCCACCCTGCCCTCCTCCTACCCTCTGATCTCCAGTCCACTCCCCATTTGCTGACCCCCCAATGAGGCAGCCCATGGAGGCCAAGCTCTGGAGCACAGAGGTTCCGGAGAGGAGGGGAGCGTTATCCCACCCACAGGCCTAACACAGCGTCTCCTCGTCTACATGAAGTGCTTGCAGTGTCTTCAAAGAATAAACACGGAAAAGATATTTAACGATCCTGTCTGTGTAGGGTGCTTGCCAAGAGCTTCACTTACATGCCTGCACTGAAATTCATGGCAATCCGGGAGGGAGTCTCTGATGTCACCCACCAGGGGGCTGCCTGCACCTGCGCTCATTCATGAGAGCAGGGCTGGGATGGCAGAGGATGGCACCTGCCCTCAAGCTGATGATGTTCTCTCCCGTCCTCTTCCTTCCCTTCCCATTCCCTCCTCCCCTCTCCTCTCTTCTTCCCTCTCCCTGTTTCTGTCTTCCTCCTCTTCTCCCTCTTCTCCCCTTTATTTAAAAAACAAACATGCCGAGACAGGCGGATCACGAGGTCAGGAGATCGAGACCATCCTGGCTAACACGGTGAAACCCCGTCTCTACTAAAAGTACAAAATATTAGCCGGGTGCGGTGGCAGGCACCTCTAGTCCCAGCTACTCGGGAGGCTGAGGCAGGAGAATGGCGTGAACCCGGGTGGCGGAGCTTGCAGTGAGCCGAGATTGCGCCACTGCACTCCAGCCTGGGCGACAGAGCAAGACTCCGTCTCAAAAAAAAAAAAAAAAGCAAATATGGATTATATTACATGCATGCCCATCTATCATTTTCATTTCCTATTAAACAACGCATCATAAATATCTTTGTAAACTAACAGAAATTTACAGTTCCTTTATAAGCTATCTAAAACAAATTATCACATATAGAGTCCATTATTACAAAATCCACTCTAAAATGTTATTTTTTTTTACTCTGCTGTTACTCTTTATTCAGCCATTATTTTTATCATGTATTTTTTTGTCTTAATGATTAAAAATGAACAGTTTTTTAAAAAAATATGACAGTAATACTGGACACGAGTTTTTAAAAATCAAAAAGCAGAGAGGGAACAAAAAATGGAAAGCAAATGAGCCGCTGCCCGCCTCACCCCCCAGCACCACCCATTGCAGAGGGATCTCTCCTAACAGTCCCTGGGGGGCAATCCGAAAAGTGACGACACAGAGCCAAGACCCACTTCCCGTCCTCAACGGGAGAAAGATACAACAAAGCAATTCAGAGTAAAAGACATATAAGTGGCCACAAATACACAGGTAGATGCTCAAACTCCTTAAATGAAAATAAGATTCAATGTCATCTCTCAAACGGGCAAAAATTCAAAAGTTTAGTAAACTATAGAATAATAGGCATGTGGATAAATAGTCACTCTTACCCACTTGGAGTGAGAGTATAAATAGGTACACCATTTTCTGGAGGGAAATTCAATAATACCCAGCAGTTGTTTAAAGCACATACAGAAAGTCCTATAATAGGAATTTTTGTTGTTGTTGGTTTTTTTTTTTTTTTTTTTTTTGGGGGGGGGGGACAGAGTCTCTCTTTGTCACCCAAGCTGGAGTGCAGTGGTGAGATCTCGGCTCACTGCAACCTCCGCCTCCCGGGTTGAAGCAATTCTTCTGCCTCAGCCTTCTGAACAGCTGAGATTAGAGGCACCCACCACCACGTCCAGCTAATTTTTGTATGTTTGGTAGGGCTTCCCCATGTTGGCCAGGCTGGCTGGTCTCAAACTCCTGACCTCATGATTTGCCCGCCTCTGCCTCCCAAAGTACTGGGAGTACAGGCATGAGTCACCGCGCCCAGCCTTCCTGGCAGTGTTTTAAAGCACATACAGTTAGATACAGAAAGTCCTATGTTAGGAATGTTTTCTGTGAGTTCTCAACACAAGCTGAAAGATGCACACTCAAGAATTTTTATGGCAAATTGTGAAAAACAACATCCACCAAGAGGGGACTGTTTAAAAAAAGTGTTGCAATGTCCATGTAACGGAATAGTTTGCAACTATATAAAGAATGAGGTGGAAAGTTCTTCAAGATATATTGCTAGTCCAAGCGTGGTGGCTCATGCCTATAAATTCCAGCACTTTGGGAGGCCAGGATGAGCGGATCGCTTGAGCCTAGGGGTTTGAGATCAGCCTGGGCAACACAGCAAAACCCTGTCTCTACAAAAAATAAAAATAAACAGCATTAAAAAATGAAAAACTAGCCAGGCATGGTGACATGTGCCTGTAGCCCCAGCTACTTGGGAGGCTGAGGTTGGAGGATCAATTGAGCCTGGGAGGTCTAGACTGCAGTGAGCTATGATCATGCTATTGCACTCCAGCCTGGATGACAGAGCAAGACTCTGTCTCAAAAGAAAAAAAAAGATATATTGTTAAGTGACCTTATTTGTGTAAATTTTTAAAATGATGTATTGGCAGGGTGCGGTGGCTCACACCTGTAATCCCAGCACTTTGGGCAGCCAAGGCAGGAGGATCGCTTAAGGCTGGGAGTTTGAGACCAGCCTGGGCAACATAGTGAACATAGTGAGAACCCTCTTTAATCAATTAAAACATTTTTAATTATAAAAGATGTACTTATAAATACTTGCATATGCATACCTTCTGCAAAATTTCTAGAAGGCTGTGCAATAAACCGTTAAAGGAGGTAAACTCTTTGAACACCTACAATGAGCTATGTCCTTTATCTCTAACCCTTCCCAAAACTGGCAAGGAACGTATTATTAGCTCCATTTTGCTGGCAAAAGATTGAGCCTCAGAGAGTTTAAGTTGCCTCAGGACATACAGCTAGTAGATGACCCAAAGCTTCCACTTCTTGCCCTGTGTTAGGTGAAAGGGAACTGAACTAAAAGTCACAAAAGCTGGTCTTTAGTCCTGGAGCAGCCTCCAACTACCTAGTAACCTTTCTCAAGTCATTTTGCTCCAGGGGCCTTGGTTTGGTGTATTTTCTACCTGTCCCAGGAAGTAGCTGTGAGGGTTGTAGTGTGAATGCGGGAGAATGAGGCAAACCAAGACAGAATACATCCAAGAGTTTGACCAGGAGGCCACAGTTACAAGGGCTTTGGAAGGTCTGATGTGGAATAACTGAAAAGCCAGGCAGACTCCGTGGAGGAAGGGGTAAAGGAGTAATAGCACAAACATATTAAACCTTGTATCTACAAAGCCACGTGCCAAGCCTTTTGTACATGCTTTTTCCAAAGCATCCTACCAGCCCTGGGAGATGGGGGTATTTGCTTTTACCTTGGAAACAGCCCCAGAGACGGTCTGCATCCTGCTCAAGTGCACCATTAGTGTGATGTATGGAGCTGGAATTCCAGCCCAACCACCAGACTCTGGAGCCTCAGCTCCTTTCCCCCATCCTCGTCCTTGTTGCCCATCTTCATCCAGCCCATTCACACTCTCGGCATTCCTTCCTCAGGTCAGGAAAAGACCACTGAACAGCCAAGAAACCCCTGCCTGGGGAGCAACAACATAGACAAGTACGACATCCTCAACTTGAATGACAAGGCTTCGTGCTTCACCAAGTGCAACCAGTCGGGCAGCAACTCCTGCAATGTGGAAAACTTGCAGAGGTGAGGGGGCCCTCTGAGCTGGAAGTGGAATTTGAAGCTGCTAGAAGGGGGCCTATCAGGAAGGGATGGGGTCATCTGACCCCATAGCCCCAGAAAATGCTGCTGCCATCTGACCCTTCCACCTTGTTTGACACCGCAGTCCCCCTGACCCAACACCCCCATTCTGGCAGTTGGGGTCCCTACTGATCTAGGGGATTTAGAGATGAATCCACTCCTATCCTGGCCCTTGGGAGTTGTGGAAGGACCGACACAGACCCAAATAATGATGACTCCAGAGTGTATACAGAAGGGCAGACAAGGTGCCAGGTTAGCCTGGAGGAGGGAAGTTGGCCAAGGCTTCACAGAGGAGGAAACCTGGAAAGGGCTTTGAAGGGTGCATAGGAGTTTTCCAGTTGGATCTAAGCAATGGTGGGGATACAGGCAACAGAACTTGAGAGTAATGGGGGATAACAACAATGCTTTGAACTGTAACAACGTAAACTGCGTGGGGATGGAAGAGACAATGGGCACATGCGATGGGTGGGAGATAGGACTGGAAATAAAAGCAGAGACTAAGGTGTGAAGGGTTGTGTAAGTTATACCAATGGCAGGGGTGTGGCAGGGCAATGACATATTTTAAGCGCAGGTAGAGTATAGTCAACTCTGCATTTTGTGAAGATTGCTCAGGCTTCAGGGACGGCTACAGGGGTGGTGATGCAGGAAGACATGACCACGGCTCTGGGTGGGAGTGAGGGCCAAGCCAGCACCACCAGCAGCAACTGGCATTGTGTACTTGCAAAGGAGAGATGGAAGGGGGAGATGATATGATGTAGACTCAATAAGACAAGAGACTGGTTAGATGTGGGGGTGAGGGAGATGAAGGGGTTTAGAACACAACATCTTTAGGAGACATCTCCAAAAATATCTCCCCCTCTCTTTCCTTCTCCCACTCTTAATCAAAGTTGCCCATAACTCTTCTGGGATACCTAGAAAAGCATGTGGCTTGTATTAGTACCTAATGAATATGTGTTAAAGGAATGAGTAAAATCCCTGTGCTCTCAGGCTTGGTGTTAGGACAGCCATCTCATTGGATCATGTTATTTCGGTGACCTGAAAATGCTTCCATTCCCACCTGCAGCCGATCCAGTAGCTTCTTAGCACCCTAGTGCTGTTCAGAGGCTCTTCTTTGTGCTGCCAAGGTATATACCCAAAAGAATTTAAAACAAGTCTCCAAACAAAAGCTCATACATGGGACAGGCACGGCGGCTCACGCATGTAATCCTAGCACTTTGGGAGGCTGAGGGGAGCAGATCACTTGAGGACAGGAGTTTGAGACCAGCCTGGCCAACATGGTGAAACCCTGTCTCTACTGAAAATACAACAAAATTAGCCAGGCCTGGTGGCAGACGCCTGTAATCCCAGCTACTCGGGAGGCTGAGGTGGGAGAATTGCTTGAACCCAGGAGGTGAAGACTGCAATGACCTGAGATCTCTCCACTGCATTCCAGCCTGGACAACAGAGTGAGAGACTCCATCTCAAAAAAAAAAAAAAAAAAAAAAAAAAAAAAGAAGAAGAAAGAAGAAGAAGAGGAGGAAGAAGAAGAAGAAGAAGAAGAAGAAGAAGAAGAAGAAGAAGAAGAAGAAGGAGAAGGAGAAGGAGAAGGAGAAGGAGAAGGAGAAGGAGAAGGAGAGGAAGAGGAAGAGGAAGAGGAAGAAGAAGAAGAAGAAGAAGAAGAAGGAAAAGAAGAAGCAGCAGCAGCAGCTAGTACATGAATATTTGTAGCAGCACTTTTTCACAGAAGCCAAAAAAAAAAAAAAAAAAAAGAGAGAGAGAGGGGAAAATACCCAAATGTCCCTCAATGGATGAAGGCATAATAAAAATGTGATCTTCCCATACAATGAAATAGTATTCATCCATAAAAAGAAATAAAATACAGGGGCCAGGCACGGTGGCTCATGCCCAAAGTCATCCCAGTACTTTGGGAGGCTGAGGCAGGAAGATCACTTGAGGCCAGGAGTTCAAGACCAGCCTGGGCAACAGAGTGAGACACCAACTCTACTAAAAATAATTTAAAAAAAGAAATAAGGCCAGGTGCAGTGGTTCATGCCTATAATTCCAGCACTTTGGGGAGCTGAGGTGGGCGGACTGCTTGAGGTCAGGAGATCGAGACCAGTCTGGTCAACATGGTGAAACCCCATGTTTCTCTACTAAAAATACAAAAAATTAGCTGGGTATGGTGGCTCATGCCTGTAATCCCAGCTACTCGGGAGGCTGAGGCAGCAGAACCACTTGAACCCGGGAGGCGGAGGTTGCAGTGAGCTAAGATTGCGCTACTGCATTCCAGCCTAGGCGACACAGTGTGACTTCATCTCAAAAATAAAATGGAATACTGATACACGCTACAACATAGATGAACCCTGAAAACATTATGCCGAGTGAAAGATGTCAGAAACAAAAGGCTGCATGTGGTATGATTCCATTTGCGTGAGCTATCTGGAATAGGCAAACTCAGAGACAGAAAGCAGATGAGTGACCGCAGAGGCCGGGGGAAGGGGGAGGGGAGAGCTTCATGGGTATGCGTTTCCTCTGGGGTGACGAAATGTTCTGGAACTAGATAGTGTGACGGTTGCACAACATTGTGACTTACTTAATGTCATTGACTTACTTTAACATGGTTAAAATGGTAAATTTTACGCTATGTGCACTTTACCACATGCACAAAAAAAGACAAACACATAAAATACTCAGAGGGATGCCTAGCGGGAATCCTGCAGGAGCAGCCTGGACGGCCCCCAAGCCACTTTCCTTCCTCCTGCCCTGATCCCAGGGTTTTCACTTTGAAAGTTTGGGTCAGCCCTCTCACCCCAAGAGCCTGACGAGTGAGTAACTCAGTCTGCAGGATCTTACCCTCCCCCCATCCCTGGCCCTTTGCAGATACTGGCTAAACTTCGAGGCCCATCTGGTGAAGGAAGGTTTGACCGAGAAGGTGAACATGACTTTTTTGAAGGCTTTGGTCCAGAACCTCAGCACCAACACCGCAGAAGACCTCTACTTCTCTCTGAAGCCCTCTCAGGTGAAGAGTTCCCCAGCCCTCTTGGCTGGTTCAGACCCTATTTTTCTTGGACATATATTTCAAAACTCTAAGAGAGTTATATCCTGTGATTGGTGCTCATTAGGGCTTGTCTCTCTCCCACATCCCAATAGGCAGAGCTGTGTCTGTAAAATGAGCTCTAGTCTCCTCCAAGCCTAAAATTTCCTTGAGCTCTTCTACTGAGGGAATGTATTTGAAATGAGGGAAAGGGTTCAATGGACAGACTGGGTATATGCTGGTCTGGATTCAAATCCCAGCTCTGCTCTTGACCAGCCATTGTGATCATGGGCAAATTACTTTTCTGAGCTTTGGTTTCCCTGTCTGTAAAAAGATGAAGGTATTGCCCACTTTCAAGATTCACATGGCCAGGTGCAGTGGTGCACACCTGCAATTTGAGCACTTTGGGAGCCGAGGTAGGAGGACGGCTTGAGGCCAGGAGTTCTAGACCATCCCGGGCAACACAGTGAGAGTCCATCTCTACAAAAACAAAACAAAACACAAAACAAACAAAAGATGAATGAGAGGAGCAAATGAGATAATGCACAGCGAATGCTTGGGATAGCGAGGGCTCAGAAAGTCTCCTGCCTTCCAGAAGAAATGGATGTGGTGGTGGAACTTCAGGCTGCAAGGTGAGTTGGTTAGCGTTGAGGTACTTTTAGGCTTGTCTGGAGAAAGGGAAATGGAAGATAGATTCTTTCTCCACCCTTTATTATGTCACTCAAGCAGCTGAGCCCTCTGCATGGGTTATGCACTGGCCCCAGAAATCACCCACGTGTCCTTTCGATGAGGGTCTGGACTGGGAAGGAGAAAGTTGGGGCCTTCATCTCCAACCATAAACCCCCTGTGCCAGTGGGCATGGGGTGCTTCTGAGGCAGGCCCTGGGTGGGTCAGGCTGTAGCCCTTAGTGGAACAGGGAGCTCAGAAAATGAATGAAACATGCTTTGCAGATGGGCACAGTGGCTCACGCCTGTAATACTAGCATTTTGGGAGGCTGAGGCGGATGGATCACCTGAGGTCAGGAGTTCGAAACCAGCCTGGCCAACATGGTGAAACCTTGTCTCTACTAAAAATATAAAATTAGCTGGGCGTGGTGGTGCATGCCTGTGATCCCAGCAATTTGAGAGGCTGAGGCAGGAGAATCGCTTGAACCTGGGAGGCGGAGGTTGCACTGAGCTGAGATAGTGCCATTGCACCATTGCACTCCAGCCTGCGCAACAAGAATGAGACTTCATCTCAAAAAAAAAAACGAAAAAACAAAAAAACGAAAAAAAAAAACTCACCATGCTTCACAATGACCACTGAAATGTATTTCAATATTTTGACGATTCTTTGTTTTTTAAAAAAGGTATTGTTGTTAGGCAGGCAGGATTTCACATTCAGAGTAAATGTGTGTGTCCTCCCTCTCTGCCCTTGTTCTCTTGCTTCCTGAACTTCCTTCCTGACAGTTTTATTCTTTCCATTTATTCCTGAGTCAGAAGTCAGACACTGTCACAATCAAGCCTTGTGTAAACACTGGGACTGTTAGGGCTCTGGCCAAAAGCACACGCCCTCCAGCCGTCCTCATACTTGCACATTCAGCTTGCCCAGGCGTCAGGTGCCCAAACAGGCACAAGCTTAGCTCTACTCTCTGTATTGGGAAAACTGAGGCTCCACAAGGGCTATAACTTCTTTAGGGACGCATAGCCTGTGACGAGCAGAGCTTGCACTGTGTCCCAGGCGTCCTGCTTCTCAGAGCTGACAGTCCTAGGTGCTGCCCCCTACCCAGTGTGCCTGTTTCCCCTCCCAGCTGGGGGAGTGGCAGGACTCGTGTTGGGGGCTGGGTACTGATGGGAGCTGCTGTGTCTGTGGTTGTAGATTCCAAGGCAGGTGATGAAGGATGAGAACAAGCCTCCTGACAGAGTGCGACTTCCCAAGAGCTTTTTTCGATCCCTGCCAGGCAACAGGTCTGAGGTCCGCTTGGCCATCACCATTCTGGACATCGGTTCAGGGACTCTCTTCAAGGTGAGGACTCAGGGAAGCTCCAAGGTTAAGTGCTAGGTCCTCTGGAGGCCCCAGCCACAGCTCGCTATCACTGGAGTCTCCTGAGGGATCCGATGGGGACGGAGCAGATAGTGAGCCTCTTAGTGTTTCCAACGCAGCCCGTGGTCATCCCAGACCCCTGTCGCTAGAGTCTATGGCCTTCAGACTCACACTGGTCACATGCTCTCAGATGTTTGACCCCCACACATCAGTGCCCTTTGGCTTGTCTGTGTATCCTGAGGGTGCTCATGTGCCCTGTGTGTTCTCGTGTGTGCACAAACATGCATGTCCTTTTCTGTTCCTGTGCACGCACAATCCCATGTGCTCAACTGTGATCATATCCACACTAGCAAGTGTACCCATGCCCTTGCACATGTGTGTACCAGGTATGTGCACCCAGAGGTGTGCATCCACTCCTGTGCAGACACGGGTACCCCTGAGGGCTGGTGTGCTCCCCCCACCAGCCCCCTTTTTACTGAATACACTCACGCTAAGACCCTCAGGGGCACGCTGTCCTCCCCGCTGACTTCCATTTCTTGGCTGATCTTAGCCCCGTGCTCCTTCTAGTTAAGAGGGCAGAGGAACTCTGGAGGCCAGCACTGGAGAGCTGCCACGTGGACAGCTTTTCGGCCAGGTGACCTGCTTGACCCAGCCCAAGCAGGAGACCACTGGGAGCAGCAGGGAGGAGCCTGCCCATGACTGCTTAGCTCCCTGGTCCCCTGTTCCCTAACTCTGCCCTCCAAGCAAAAGGCCATGGGTTCCTGGAGGCTCCTAGGAACCCCAGCCTTGGTGGGTTGGGATGGCCCCTTCTGCAGCCTAGCTCCCCGATCTCCCCTTTCACAGGGCCCCCAACTCGGCCTGGGAGATGGCAGCGGCGTGTTGAATAATCACCTGGTGGGCTTGAGTGTGGGACAAATGCGTGTCACCAAGCTGGCTGAGCCTCTGGAGATTGTCTTCTCCCACCAGCGTCCACCCCCTGTGAGTCCCCTGCCCAGGCCTGGCAGTCACTGCAGGGCAGACAGGCGGGTGGGCACACCTGGGCCTATGGGCCCTGCATGGGACACTACACATCTGTCCCCTACCCTCCCACAGTCACCCAGGAGGAGCCATTAGGGCCATGCACATAATTGGGTCCAAGGCCACACACCATAGAGGCACACATGAGGACCTGGCAAGCCCACGTGCACACCCACGGCATTCCACACCCTCCACACCCGTGCTCCCCGGCATGCACACATGCATGCAGACAGCAAACCCTCCCGCCCACAGCCCCACACCACAGTCGTGCCCTCCACACGCAGGCCCAGGGCTCATCAAATGATGCACTTAATTTTTCTGTGTGGCCCATGGGCGTGAACCTTGCCTTCTACCTAATGCACACTCACGCTAGGCCTCGGGGGAGCACACCGTCCTCCCGCTTCCCCTGCCCTCCCCCAGCCTTCCCTTTTCCTCTCTCCTGACTTCCACTCTTCATTTCAGAACATGACCCTCACCTGTGTATTCTGGGATGCGACTAAAGGTAGGGCTTGGAGGACCTTCTCTGGGGTAAGACAGGAAAGGAGGGTATGGGCTGCATTGTGGGGCAGGGCAGGCTCCACTAGTCGAGTCCCTCCCCTGCCTTCCTCTTCCCTCCCCTCCTCTCCTCTTCACTCCCTCCATCCCCTCCCTTCCCCTCCCCTCCTCGTCTCCCTTCCCCTCCCCTTCCCCCCTTCCCTATATTCCCTTCCCCCCGTTCCCCTCCCCTCCCCTCCCCACTCTTCTCCCCTCCCCACTCTCCTCCCCTCCCCTTCCCACTCTCCGCCCCTCCCCTCCTTATATTCCCTTCCCCTCTGTTTTCCTCCCCTCCCCTCTCCACTCCCCTCCCCTCCCTTCCCTACATTCCCTTCCCCTCTGTTCCCCTCCCCTCCCCTCTATACTCCCTTCCCCTCTGTTCCCCTCCTCTCCTCTCCCTTGCCCTCCCCTCCCTATATTCCCTTCCCCTCTGTTCCCCTCCCCTCCCCTCTATACTCCCCTCCCCTCCCCTCCCTATATTCCCTTTCCCTCTGTTCCCCTGGCCTCCTCTCCAGGGCCCACTGGAGACTGGGCTTCTGAGGGCTGCTCCACGAAGGTCGCGCCTGAGGGGACTGTGTGCTGCTGTGACCACCTGACGTTTTTCGCCCTGCTCCTGGTAACAGCCCCCTCCACTCTGATCCCAGCCATCCCAGGGACTTCCAGCTCCTGCCCAGGGGAGGGGGCTGCCTGGTGGTCTTGGGGTATATGAGCCTGGCCTCCAACTGACGTAGTCCCGGTTCCTGGGTCACCCACAGAGACCCACCTTGGACCAGTCCACGGTGCACATCCTCACACGCATCTCCCAGGCTGGCTGTGGGGTCTCCATGATCTTCCTGGCCTTCACCATTATTCTTTATGCTGTCCTGAGGTGAGTGATCCCCAGCCCCCTACCATGTCTCTCTCCCACCCTCAAGGGAGGCAGCAGGGCAGGGTGGGAAGCACTCAGGTTGTGCAGCCCCTGACTGATGTCCTCTCCACACATTAGTGTCTTCATCCCAAAATAGGGTTGGGGGTTGAAATGTGTCAGAGCTATTTCAGGAGCAAGTGGCAGAAATTCAACTCAAATTGGCTTAAACATAATAGGGAATGTGTGGTTCACATAACTGAGAATAGCAAATAGCAAATAGGGTTCATGTAACTGAAAAACCCAAGGTGCATGGACTTCAGGCAGGGTTCAATCAAGGGGGAGTCAAAAGAGGTCCCCAGGACTTGATCTCCTTCTGCCTCTCACAGCTTCGCTCACCCCTTGACAGTCACATCGGGCAGCCTCACCACCCTCAGGGGCCCTGGCTGCCTCAGGATTGCATCATAGGTCCTTAGCTGCTTAGGCAGAAATAAAAGAGATCTCCTCTTTCCAAGTATTCTAAGATGAATCCCAGGATTAAGAAGGGTTTAAAAAAATTTTTTTTTATTTTGAGATAAAACAGAAAGCTGCAAAAATAGTGCAAAGAGTCCTGTGGTTCCTTCTCCCAGATTCCCCCTATGAATACATCCTAGACAACTGGAGTTCAATATCAAAACCAGTAGCTGGTGGTACAGTACTATTGACTAGAACATAGACTTTGCTCAGTTTTCACAATTTTTTATGCACATTCATGTCTCTGTGTGTGTGTGTGTGTGTGTGTGTGTGTGTGTGCAGGACACATCATTTGCTGAGCCCAGTCCAAAATGAAAATATAGAAGTCCGGGTGCAGTGGCTCATGCCTGTAATCCCAGCATTTTGGGAGGCCAAGGCAGGCGGATGACCTGAGGTCAGGAGTTCGAGACCAGCCTTGCCAACATAGTGAAACCCTGTCTCTACTAAAAATACAAAAAAATGAGCTGGGCGTGGTGGTGGCACATGCCTGTAATCCCAGGTACTCAGGAGTCTGAGGCAAGAGAATTACTTGAACCCAGGAGGCGGAGGTTGCAGTGAGCCGAGATCCACTGCACTCCAGCCTGGGCAACAAGTGCAAAACTCTGTCAGAAAGAAAGAGAGAAAGAGAGAGAGAGAGAGAGAAGGAAGGAAGGAAGGAAGGAAAGGAGGAAGGAAAGAGAGAGAAAGAAAGGAAGGAAGGAAGAGGGGGAGGGAAAGAAAAGAAAAAGAAAAAGAAAATATATGGCCCCTTATTCAAAAATTTTTAAGAATGTCAAGATGGCGACAGTAGAACATGAAGTCCTTCTGCATATGGGCCCTACACAGGTCACGTGCTCATGAAACTGGCCCTGTGTGAGCATGTGTCTGCGTGTCTGCGTGCATCAGCCTATGCAGTTTTATCCCATGTATACACCAGAGTTGAGTCTTACTGGTCTAACTTGGACCATGTGCCCATGCCTGCCTGGGTCACTGTGGTCAAGGGCTGGAATACACAGATTGGCCGGCCAGGCCACATGCCTGCTCTTGGGTTTGAGTTAACAAAGAACCCCTGGCCCCTGACCTATGTTGTGCTTGAGAGTGGGGACGGGCATTCCTCAGGGAAACCTGGGGCTGTGTCCAGAAGATGGGGGAGTGAGTGCACGACAGGCAGAAACAGCAGAGAGCACTGCAGCCTCACTCGCCTGGGCCCAGGCCATGGCTGAGGGACCCACAGGACCTGCCAGCTTGAAGGAGCCTAGGGAAGCTGCCAGTTCCCCAGCTTGTCCTGTCCCCCAGCCTCCTGGGGGTGCCTGGGAGTGACTTGAAGCAGCCCTTGGGTCTCCTGTCCCCGCCTCCAGGGCCGTCCCACTGCCCTCTCCATATGCCTCTGTGTCAGCATTTGGCCCCGGGCCGCAGCCCCCACTAGGCCCACCCACTCCATCACAGACCAACCCATGAGTGTAAGTGGTGCCCCTCACCCCCACCCTCCAAGCCCTGGCCTAGGACATGGTCCCAATCCCCAACAAGCCGAGTGTGACTTGCCAGCTGGCCATGTTGCTGGACCCTGTGAGCGGGGCTTGGAGCGCCAGGAGGAATTGCCACCAGCTCCTCAGGGTGGGGCCTGGCATCTCAGGTGAGGTGGACATGATCCCAGATGCTCCTCCAGGAAGCCCCCGGCTCCCCTCCCTCGACTGAGAACCCTTTTGAATCTGGTTTGCTAAGAATTCAAAGTGGGAGCTCCAGAGAGAGGGAGGTGAGCCTGGTGAGTAACTGGGCAGGGAGTCTGGAGCCCAGGGTTGGAGCCCCTGCCCTGCTCTGTGACCCCGTAAGACTCCTCCAATCCCTCTCTGAGCCTCACTCTCCTACTGCATTTTCGGCTTCATGCACCCACCCACCTGTCCATCTACTTCACCAGTGAATCCATGGCCCCTCCAGGGTTAGGCCTGAAGTTCACAGCATGGGAAAGACCCGAGGACGGAGAGAATGGGGAGTTACACTATGCTGCTGGGAAACGTCCAAATCAGCTCAGGCTAAGGGGCATTCAGAGATGGCCTCCCCAGAAGGAAACATCCAAGGGGTGTTTGAAAGGCAGAAGAACAGGAGTCAGGCAATTAAGGTGGGAAGAGCTGGGGAGCAGGGAAAGGCATTGAGAGCAGTGGGAAGAGCACTGGCAGAGTCTGGGAGGTGTGAAAAATCATCATGCATTCAGGAAACTGCGAGTTACACGGTTTGGCTAATGCAACTGTTACTGCATGGTGCCGCGAAGTTCCGGGCTCTTGGTGCCCTGAGCAAAGAATTGGATGAGATACACAGAGAGAGCCAAGCAAAGCAACGAAAGTGTATTCCACGCAGTATTCCACTCTCAGAGGGGGAGAGTGGGCTGACCTTTGCAAAATGAGATCAGCCTCACCTTGGTGTAGTTGGGTCATTCCGGGTGTTTTTTTCTTCTCTTCCCAAGGCTGCCTAATCTCTAGCCAGTGTCTGGCTTTTGACTGATAGGTGTGTGTTGTTCAGTTACTTTGAGCCCTTGTGCACTTGTGCGTCACCTCCATCCCATAATTTTAAGTACATGCATGATATGCAGCCCATATGCATGAACCTTAAGTAGCTAATTATCATACAGGGTTATGTGAAAGATACTTTTTCTCTCTCATGCAAATGCCCATCTCTGAAGAGCTGCCCCTTACCGGTTTGGCCTGGATCTTCCTGGCCATAGGGTCCCTTTTTTATATCACTTTTGTCTTGCCTGCTGAACCTCTGCTTTTCATCTTGCTTCTTGCTCACCCACCCCATTCACCTTGCTTCTATTCTCTGCTTTTGCCTATTCTGCCCTTTATCCAACTTTTAATTCCCTTTGCTATTCTCCTGCCTCATTTTCCGGCCTCATTTTCCCTATTATCCTGCCTCACATCGATCAAGGGATGAGGTTGGTAGGATCCGGAACCCACAAGGCCCCACGGGCCATGAGAGGCTCCTGGACTTGAATCTCAGGACATTTCCACTCTGTCTGCTGGCAGGGGCAGAAGCTGGCAGTGGGGGTGGAGAGCCATGGGCTGTTTGGGGTGGACAGGCCTGGATGCCTCATGAGCGCTCCCCATGGGAGCTGTGGCCCCTTGGGGCCTCTTATTTCTCTCCCCAGGCTTTCCCGGCAGAGGTTCAAGTCAGAAGATGCCCCAAAGATCCATGTGGCCCTGGGTGGCAGCCTGTTCCTCCTGAATCTGGCCTTCTTGGTCAATGTGGGGAGTGGCTCAAAGGGGTCTGATGCTGCCTGCTGGGTCCGAGGGGCTGTCTTCCACTACTTCCTGCTCTGTGCCTTCACCTGGATGGGCCTGGAAGCCTTCCACCTCTACCTGCTTGCCATCAGGGTCTTCAACACCTACTTCGGGCACTACTTCCTGAAGCTGAGCCTGGTGGGCTGGGGTAGGTGCTGCCTGGATGGACAGAATAAACAGCCGACCCCGAGGGTACAGAGGAAAATAGCATTGGGGAGAGAGAGGAGGGGCTCCCAGAGCTGGAAGGATGGCCATCTGGAAGGGATGTGGAGGAGGACGTGCCAGTAAGCCCCAGTGATGCCATGCCGCTTCCCCTTGTGCCCAGGCCTGCCTGCCCTGATGGTCATCAGCACTGGGAGTGCCAACAGCTATGGCCTCTACACCATCCGCGACAGGGAGAACCGCACCTCTCTGGAGCTGTGAGTGGCGGCTGTGGAAGCAGGGGCAATGCCGCATATTGGGGCTGGAGAGAGGTGGGGAGACGAGGGATTTCTAGGAAAATCTAGACCAAATGTGTCAAGACCAGAAGAATCCTCAGATCCAGCTAGCTCATGGCACAGAGAAGTAAACTGAAGCCTAGAGAGAGAGAGGAAGTGAAATGAGAGAGGGGCCTGAGAAAGGAGAGGGAGAACTGGACCAGGAGGCAGGATGCCTTACTCGAGCCCACATGGCACCTTGAGGCAAAGTAAAGAAGGTCACCCTGTCCGCATGCTGGGTGTGCAGCCTGCAGAGTGGAGGGTGTGTTGGATTTCAGTCCCCACCTGCTGCCCAGCCAGGTGTCCTTGTTCAGGCCACCACCTGCCCAGTGATTCCCAGTAGCCCTAGGTCTAGTCCAGGCTCTGCCCTGTCTGCTGTGTGTGTGACCTTGGCAGGCCCGATCTCTCCCAGGGCCTCAGTCTCCTCATCTGCACCATGGGGGAACTGATCAACATGCTCTTTGAGGCCCTTTGCCCCTGCAGTGCAGGGGGCGGTGGAACTGAGTTGTTTCTAGACTCCCACCTTGGGATCCTTGGGGCACTCATCACTGGGCCCATGGCTCTCTGCTAAAAGGAGCTGGTAAGGCCTTAGACCTGTCCCCAGGGCCTCAAAAGCAGGGGCCCCAGGAGCCGGGGAGGTCACAAAGGTGCAGGCAGTGGGCCGGGTGGGGACTGCAGTGAACTGGCAGTCACAAGCCCATCTAATTAGCGGCCAGTTACTATCCTTCAGGAGGGCATCCACAGAGCTGCCAGGTGTATGATTTTATAGGAGAAGCAGAAATCTAGGTATTTGTACCAAAGTTTCTGATTTTAAAGGCGGCCACTAATTCAGTTTTTTCACAGTGTAATATGGGGCAAATGAAACATGTCTTTGAGGTCATTTTCGCATTAAAGAGACTGGAGTCTGGTGATGGCCCCTCCCACAGCGGGAGAGCCAAGGATTGATGGGTGGAAATGGGAGAGGCACCTACACAGACAGAAAAGCTCAGCCAGGGGACTTCCTGGGCTTGCTGGCCAGAGGTACCACTCCCAGTCCCACCACAGGTGTCCCCTCCTCTAGATGCTGGTTCCGTGAAGGGACAGCTATGTACACCCTCTATACCACCGTCCACGGCTATTTCCTCATCACCTTCCTCTTCGGCATGGTGGTCCTGGCCCTGGTGGCCTGGAAGATCTTCACCCTGTCTGGCGCGACAGCGGTCAAGGAGCGGGGACAGAACTGGAAGAAGGTGCTCACCATCCTGGGCCTCTCGAGCCTGTTGGGTGTGACATGGGGGTTGGCCATCTTCACCCCATTGGGCCTCTCCACCATCTACATCTTTGCACTTTTCAACTCCTTGCAAGGTGAGGCCCCTGCACCAGGGAGGTGATGGGCTGTGTTGTCTGTCCCAGGAGGTATTGGGAGGTGGGGAAGAGGGTGGTTTGCAAAACACAGGACTCTGGTCAGGCTAGCTCAAGTCAAGGATGTTGATTTCAAATATTCAGAGCAAGGGTCCAGGGCAGCAAAGTCTGGCTGCTGTATTAGTCCGTTTGTGTTACTATAATATGAAGGAATACTGGAGACTGGGTAATTTGTAAAGAAAATGGGGTTAATTGGCTCATGGTTCCACAGGCTGTAGACAAAGCACAACACCAGTATCTGCTCCTGGTGAGGCCTCAGGAAGCTTCCAATCATGGTGGAAGATAAAGGGGAGCCAGCATATCACATGGCAAGAGTGGGAGCAAGGGAGTGGGGAGGCGCCATGCTGTTTTAAATGAGATCTCGCATGAACTCCGAGCGAGCGCTCACTCATCACCAAGGAGATGGTGCTAAGCATCATGATGGTGATATGGATTCATGAGGATCCACCCCCATGATCCAATCCCCTCCCACCAGGCCCCACCTCCAACATTGGGAATCACATTTCAATATGAGATTTGGAGGGAACGAACATCCCAGACATATCAGCTGCCTTCATGGGAGCTGCTACCAGGATCAGAAAAAGCCACCCAAACCAAAGCAGATACGTTCCCCATCGTTTTCCTGGAGCTGTGGAGTCTCTCACCTAGTGTCTGTGGAAACTCCTTCATTCTCTCTCCACTCACCCTTTACTACCTATGGCCCCAAATGGTTACCCAACATGGCTGCCATAACTCTACCTGACCTTGCAAGTTGGGTGTCCATCATGCATCTCTGGTCCAATCAGCAGTGACCAGAAGGGCAGAATCATGTGATCTGATGTCCACATGACATAGACGGTATCTCCAGAGATCTATAGAGGTAGGAAGGAAATGCTTGCTACATTTGCTACCGGCCCCCACAGGGCTCTTCCTCTGAGATCCCAGCAAAGGGGTAAGAGCAGTGCATGGGTTAGGGTTTATATGTGCTCTATTTGCTCCTTGCATCCACAGCTCAGAGAGGCATCACAGCCTGACTGTGTGTGAGAGAAACGGCCAAGACAGGAGTGACGAGACTCAACCTGTTCAGAGGAGTCACTAGAAACCCAGGCATCCTAGATTCAGCGGGTACAAGCCCCAAGACCAGGGCTGGCTCCCAGTGCCCCATGAAACTTTGTGACTTAGTGGCTGGGGCCAGGCAGCCCTGGGTCCAAATCCTAGCCCCATCCATGACCCAGCAAGTCACTTGGCTCCTCCCATCCTCATTCATCTCGAAATTGGAATAATCCCATACTTATTTTACCAGATTGTTTGTTTGTTTGTTTGTTTGTTTTTGAGGTGGAGTCTTACTCTGTTGCCTAGGCTGGAGTGCAGTGGCATGATCTCAGCTCACTGCAACCTCCACCTCCTGGGTTCAAGCAATTCTCCTGTTTCAGCCTCCTGAGTAGCTGGAACTACAGGTGCATGCCACCATGCCCAGCTACTTTTCGTATTTTAGTAGAAATGGGGTTTCGTCAATTTGGTCAGGCTGGTCTCAAACCCCTGACCTCAGGTGATCTACCTGCCTCAGCCTCCGAAAGTGCTGGGACTACAGGCGTGAGCCACTGTGCCTGGCCTGTCAGATTTCAAAATGAACAATGACAATGAATATGTGGGAACCACTAGGTCTTCAATATGTGGGAACTATATCAATTGTCACAGAAATTATGACTGTAAGGCCATCTGAGGCTGTCTCCAGATGGAGAATCATGAGTCCATGCCTGAAGAATCCCAGGGGTTGATGGTTGGGGAGAAATGCACCTTGAAACGATAGCTGACCTTGTTATTCTTTCAGGGGTTACCTTGATAGGTAAGCCTGCACACTTCACTCTACAAAGTTTCCACTGGGTCTGGATTATTCTGTTACCTCCTCTCTTCCTCTCCAATACAACAGAGCCCTTGGTATACTTGAATTGCCCATTGAATTCTTCTCAATATTTGTCATGTATATAGTGTTTCAGTTACAGATTTCCTTGAAACAGAGTTTTTCTAAGTCATGTTCTATACTTACTATCATTTCTTGCACCCAACACTTTCCCTTTTCCTCTTGCTGGAGTGCCTCCCATAATAATCCTTTATAGAGGGAGTGATGGTTGTTTTGCATGTCTGAAAATTCCTCTATTTTGCTCTTTCTTTTCTGTAATAGGCATATGTAGATATTTTATTTGAAGGTCTCTGTTTTTCATTTCCAATATTTCTATTTGGTTCTTTTTTATTTCATTTTTGAAATGGTTGTGAAATGGTTGCATTTTTGCCCGACTTTCCCAGCAGTTCTTGAGTGGTTACGGTGGGTCTCCTCCCTCTCAGCAGCCACCAGCCCCGGCTGCCTCACTCCCTGGCACCCCTTTCCAGGCTCACTGAGGCCTCTCCTCCCTGACAGGTGTCTTCATCTGCTGCTGGTTCACCATCCTCTACCTCCCAAGTCAGAGCACCACAGTCTCCTCCTCTACTGCACGACTGGACCAGGCCCACTCCGCATCTCAAGAGTAGGAAGGCACGGCCCTGCAATCTGGACTTAGCTCTGGCTCGCTGTGTGACCTTGGGCAGCTCTGTGCCTCCCTCTGGGCCAGTTTCCTTCTCTGTGCAATATGGCTGGGGAGGGAGAGGATGGGACCAGGTTTGACCACGTGGCTTCAGAGATCCCCTCCAGATCCAACTGCAGGTTCAAGAGTACACATAAGCAGGTTTGCAGGGCTCTAAAGTTCCTATAGTCCTGAGAGCACCTGCCAGCAAAAAGTGACAGTCACCTCCATGCCCTACCCTCATTGCAAAGCCCTCACCCACATTCTGTCTCAGCAAGGGAGGAGAGTCTGTTGCTGGCGTAGCCCTGGAAGGAGCCCCCAGCCTCTCCCCTCTTCCTTGTCACTGGCCTCCCACAGCTACCCCTATGGCTGCCTGTAACCTTGAGGGGCATTCAGGAGGCCAGCATTCCCTCAGGCATTGGGGGTTTGTTTTGGGGGGTGGGAGTTGATCCTCCCACCCAGTCTGCCCCTGGTCTCTGCCCATCCCATCAGAGCCCACCCTCCTGGAAGAGACCCCAGTGTTCAGGGTGCTGGCAACCCTGCAGGTATCCAGGGACACTGCATTTCAAAGAACCACTGAATGGGTGAGCTACCTTGGGCAAACCCCCCACTCCCGATTCTGACTGCCACGTACGTGGGTGGCCCAACCTCTGACCTGCTGTCATCATAGAGGTAGAAAGCAAATGATCTGGGGCTCAGCACACCTGGGGGTGCTCCCACTCATTCACTGTGTGGGGCCGAGGGATGAGGGTGGGGTTGAGGGCTCCCTGAGCAGAGGCTGGGCATTGCCACTAGAACCTGAGCTCCTAGAGAACAAGGACCTGGGTGGCCTCGCTCACTGTTCCAGCCCAGGCCGAGCACAGGGCCTGGCTCATGGCAAGCCTTGAATAAATATTTGTTGGCTGAATGAGTGGATGTATGAGTTTGGCACCAGCCTGGCAGAGCCCTGAGCCAAGGGGGTGTCTCAGGCCAGACCTAGGTTGGGCAGGGCACTTCCAGCAGCTGGGGCTCCATGTCACAGTCGCATGCAGATTTCTCAGTAGGAAACAAAAAGAGGCAGAAACAGCAGAGATGGGGGTAGAGATACAGAGATGGAGAGACGGAGAGAGAGACTTAACAGACAGGCCGACACAAAGAGGGAGAACGGAGGCAGAGAGACAGAGGCAGGGAGATGGCAGCCCCACGCCAGCTCCAGCGACACCCCCTGCTTGCGGGGAGCAGTACATGTTGACATCATTCCCCTCCTTGGAGCCTCACCGCACAAGTCCACCTCTCGCTCTACCCACAACTTACCAGCCATCCTCCCTACCCGGCCCCCAATCCTCCCCAGGGAGCTCTGTGAACTGTCAAACCCTGCCTGCAGGTGAGAAGTTATTGTCACTATTAGGCCTCCCCCAACAGCCCCGGAAGCTGCAGGCTGCAGCCCACCTCCCCGTCCAGATGGTGGGTGCTGTTGTTGACTGCAAATGGATGCGCTTCGCTTCCCCTCCCAGCCCGCAAGCAGTTGAAAGACAGGAAGGCGGGCCCTCGCTTTATGCAAGTCGCTGTGTTCCTGGAAGGGAAATCCTGGGGTGTGAATATTTCCTCAGTTGAGCCATAGGAGCAGTTCTGGTGGACAAACTTGGTGTGTTTTGGGGCTTATTTTCACAGACATCTGTTTCTCATGCTCAAGGTCTCACTCCCTTATCTCAAAGGCTCAGGGTTAGTAATCTAAGAAACAGCTGTTCCACCATCTGATAGGTCTGGGCTTAAATCCTGGCTCAGCTGCTTAGGAGCTGTGTGATCCTGGGCATGTTACTTCACCTCTCTGAGCCTCAGTTTCCCCCTCCATAAAATGGGGATTATCAAGTCCTCACCTCATCCTGACAGCATTAAATGAGGTGACAGAAATAAAGTGCCCAGCACCGACTCTGCAGGAGTTAGTCAGCTCCCCGACTCCCCCTTGATTTAAAGAAAGACCAGCCAAGGGTAATGGCATGAGGAAATGGAGGCCCAGACAGGCCCAGCCACCTGCCCAACTAAGGTCACTTCATGGGCTGGGCTGAAGCTAGGGCCAGGCCTCCCCAGGTTGCCCTCCTCCTAGAGCGGTCCCTGAGTTTAAGGATTATCACCTGGTCCTTGGCTGGGCTTGGTGGCTCACACCTGTAGTCATAGCACTTTGGGAGGCCAAGGTAAGAGGATTGCTTGAGCCCAGGGGTTCAAGACCAGCCTGGGCAACACGGTGAAACCCCGTCTCTACTAAAATACAAAAAAAAATTAGCCGGGCGTGGCGGCGTGTGCCTGTAGTCTCAGCTACCCAGGAGGCTGAGGCAGGAGAATTGCTTGAATCTAGCAGGTGGAGGTTGCAGTGAGCCGAGATTGCACCACTGCACTCCAGCCTGGGCAACAGAGTGAGACTCTGTCTCTAAAAAAAAAAGAAAAAATTATCTAGGCATGGTAGCTACTTGGAGGAGGAAGCAGGAAGACCACTTGAGCCCAGCAGTTCAGGAATTCAGTGAGCTATGATGACGTAACTGCACTCCAGCCTGGATGACAAATTGAGACCATGTTTTTTAAAAAAAGAAGGAGGAGGAGGAGGAGAAGGAAGGAGGAGAAGGAGGAGGCGTAGAGGAGAAGGAGGAGGAGGAGAAGGAGGAGAAGGAGGAGGAGGAGGAGAGGAGAAGGAGGAGGAGAAGGAGGAGGAGGACAAGGAATGGAAGGAGAAGAAGGAGGAAGAGGAGAGAAGAAGGAGAAGGAGGAGGAGGACGAGGAGGGAAAAGGAGGAGGAGGAGGGGGAGGAGGTGGAAGGAGGAAGAGGAGGGAGAAGGAGGAGAGAGAAGGAGGAGGAGAAAGAAGAAGAAGGAGGAGGAAGAAAAAAGAAGAAGAATAAGAATTATCACCTGGTCCCAACCCCCAGTCTCAAGGGAAATTCTGGGTCGCAGAGTTTCCCAAACTGCTCAGTGGGATGTGGGACAAACAAGACCACAAGCCCCTGATGGCTGGGCTTCCTGGCTCAGATGGAGAGGGCAGTAAGGAGGTGTGGCTAGCATTGGGAGTGCACTGCTTTTCTGGCTGGCTTTCCACCCTGGGGCTAGGCAGGGGCCGAGGGGCTGGAGTTCCTCATCACCTGGGGTTCCTGCAAAAGCAGCTCCAAGTGGCAAGCTGAGCACCCATAAGGCCAAGGGGGCTATGGTGAAAATACACCCCAAAGCCCAGAGTGGATGGATGGAGTTCCTCCGTCATTGCACAGCAACAACAGCAACCTAGGAGGTGGGCCGTCATCACAGGTGGGAGCACAGACCCTGACCTCAGTTCACCGGTTTCAAATTCGGTCTTCGCAACTTGTCTTGGGCAAATTATTCAACTACTGAGCCTGTAAAACAGAAATAGCAGCAGCTGCCCCACAGGGCTGATGAAGGAAATGAATAAATGCGACAGTGCCTGCAAGGACTGCCCACTGCCTGGCCTGCCTGGCCCAGAATGAGTGTGAAGAAGCCAGAGCTTTGCCTTGGCCATCATCTCATCAGGTCCTGGGCACAGAGAGGGTCCCTTCTGCCACGGCTCCTGCCTGGTTCTCTGTTCTGCCCAAATCTCTTCATTCCTTGTCTTTTTTCAATACAGCATAGCAAATACACAGGAAACAAGAAGACTCTTTTGCTCTATGCTGTCAGATAGACAACACTAAAAGATATAAATCCTTCATCAATGAATGGATGCAATGCAATTACAATAAAGATTTTGGGGCGGGCATTGTGGCTCACATCTCTAATTTCAGCACTTTGGGAGGCTGAAGCAGGAGGATTGCTTGAGCCCAGGAGTTCCAGAACAGCCTGGGCAACATAGCGAGACCCTGTCTCTACAATAAAATAAAATAAAGGAAAAAAATAAATATTCTAATTGATTTTACTTTTTTGGATTCTCTAGAAACTTTTAAAATTGATACGGAGGCATATAGTCCTCAAAAAGCGAAGTCAATCTTAATGGAAGAGGGCATACAGGAGGCGGAGGTTGCAGTGAATAGAGATCGTGCCACTGCACTCTAGCCTGGGAGACAGACCTAGACCCTGTCTCAAAAAGAAAAAACAGAAAGAAGGCATAGAAGGAAGACTTGACGTCTAGACATAAAGATATTACAAGACCAGTTTGGTAAATGCAACGTGGAGTCTGTGCAGGGATAGGAAAGAAGATCAGTGGAACAGCAAAGAGTGCTCAGAGGCAGACCCACGGACATCTGGGGGATTTAATACATGACGAGGGTGGCGTCGTCATTTTCAGAGGAGGAAATACCTAAAACTAACATATTAGTTCATGAAGACACATTTAAAATCATTAGTTATCAGAGAGCTGAGATTGAAATGACAATGAGACCTCATTGTATCCTTATTAAACTGATGAACTAGAAAGCTAGATAGTACCAACGGGAGAGATGATATGGGAGCCAGGGAGAGTCTAGACTGCTTCAGCTGCCAGGAGAAAAACATAGTGCTTCTACTGAGTCAGCAATCTTGCTACTGGTCATTTATCTTAAAAAAACATTATTCCAGATCTAGACTCTTCTAGACCTGTGTAGCATTGTCTGTGATGGAAGGGAGTTGGCAGCAAATCTGAGTGGTCTGTCCAGTCCGCCCAGCGTTTGCTGGGGAGTTCCCTCAAGACTGCCCCAAACCGTCAAGAGCTAGGGCCAGCTGGAATTCCGAAGAAATAAACACTAGAAGCAGGGGTGATCTGTATCCGTCCAAAGCATTGATTAGGGAAACGTACATAGGGAAGGCTGTAGTATTCTCATGATGGACAGCAAGAAGGGAGATGTGTCTGTTCATAATGAGGAGGTGGGTTTATGGAGTTTATATGAGGGTTTAAGGAATTTGGTTCAGGGCTGGGCACGTTTAACATTTGTTTGATCTTTCCATGTTTCCAGCAACAACCTAAACCACTATCAGTGCCTGGGGACGTTGAAAGCTCCCTCTAGAACACTTGGACACCGAATGCCTGTTACTGGAAGGACAAAGAGGTAATTAATAAGTGTGGATCCACACAGTAACATGGAGAGATCTTAAAAACACAGCCCTTCATGAAAATATAAGAACCAGAAGGATATATTCATTCAGTCTCATATTAAACATATATTTAAAATACCAGCATGCAAAAGAATACTCATTTTGGAAAAAAAAAATATGCATCAGAACTCTTGCTTTATAGAGGTGGGAAATGAAAGTGGGTATGGAGAGAAAAAGGAATGAATACATATGTAAAAGGAATAAAATATTGCATGGGATTGAAAAAGGAAAATGAAGCCTAAGCTACATCCCACCAGCATAACACATCACCTGTTTTCCTTTCTCCTCTCTCCTCACTTCCCTCCCTCATCCCAGCCAGTTCCCCACAGAGGTAATTATGAGTTGCTTAGCACCACGTCTGAAATACACACACCCTCTGGTGAGCTCTCCACGGTGCAACTGATCCTTTACAGCTTATTTTTATGGCTGCTTGATATTCAAACCGGGAGGGGGAAAATCATTCTCTATTCATGAGAACTGAGGCAATTCCTAAGTTTGTAGCAGTAACACTAACTATGCAACCTTGTCAGCACAGTGACAGTCTGGATTCCCTCCTGGCAGCCCTATCCCCTGACCAAAAAAGGCCTGGGCACCCCTCCCTCCAAAAATAAAACAGTAAAGATTATATTTTAGGACTATATTAGTGCAAACATAAATATAATTCAGGGCAGATTCATAGTTATATAGTCATTATTATTCTTATTTTTTTCTTCTGAATTGAAAAGAAATTAAACATTTTCACGAGCCACTAGCCTAATGGATAGGTTTTCCCCATACTTCGAAGTAATGTTCTACATCAGAGCCCCGGCCTGGACTAGAACCCAGGACTCGGTCAAGGCAACGTGGCTCTGTCCACCACAGCTGGCAGCTACTCCAGGACCCACACTGGTTTCTGTCCGTCTGGATCACGGCTACATTCGGCATGCCATGTGGCAGGGGCTGCGGTGTGCTGGTAGATGTTTAACAACTGGCTTGCTCAGGGGAAAAGCCCTGGTCTTGGCATTTGCTAATTTTTGTGGTGTAAATAACCCCATGGCCTTTTTTTTTTTTTTTTTTTTTTTTTTTTTAAGAGAGGGTCTCACTATATATTGCCCTGGCTGATTTTGAACTCCTGGGCTCAAAGGATTCTCCTGCCTCGGCTTCCCAAAGTGCTGGGATTACAAGTGTGAGCCACCATGCCCAGCCCTTTTAATTTTTAATAATGGCTGTGTTTCACAAACATTTTGAAAAGGTTATCAACTAGCACGTTGATGCCCCGCTATACCAGCGCACCGCTGGCCCAAGGACCCATGCAACCTGGGAAGACTACATTTCCCAGAAGCCTCCTCTCCCAGGACCGGCCTTCAGCGTCCCAGGCTGTTACCATGGAGACGGCTAACTGCTAGCGCAGGCTGTCCTCGGAGGGGTGAGGAGGGAGCAAGGGACTTGGGGTGGTTGGACTCTGTCTGGCAGGGAGAGGGCGAGGGCGAGGCTGGTGGCCTCCTTCTGCCTGGGGGCCTCCAGCCCTGATCTTTCTGGGGAAGTTGTTGGCGGGGTGTGTGTGTGTGTTTATGTGTGTTGGGAGGAGGAAGTTGCTGGTGGAGAAGGGGTACAGGAAAGGGCCTGTGGGTTGGGGCCCAATCTAGGGAACCTTGAGACAAGACTGCCTTCCCCACACTGGGCTATAGCTGAAGAGGCCACCTGTGTAGGGAATAAAGTGCTGTGGGTTCTTCTCCCCAGCTCTGCCTCTGATGGTGTTCTGGGACTGACACATTGACTTTCTCTTCATCCTACTTCTTTCCTTGCCCACCACTCCCCCACCATCCCTTCTAGCACTTCCCCATCTCACATCTCTTCTAGCCTGAGATGCACAGGTTTCACAGCCAGAAATACTTGGGTTCAAATCCCAGACCTGCTACTTACTAGCTGTGACCTTAAGCAGTGCACTCAACCTCTCTGGGCCCCAGTCTTCTCATCTGCAAAGTGGGTGTCCTAAGTGTCTGCCTCACAGAGTCAGTAGAGGATAAGTGAGATGATCTCCGTACAACCCTCAGCACAGGGCCTGGCACACAGTAGGCGTTCAGCAAACTGTAAGTGCCTTGTAATGGTGATGACTGCCCTCCCTGTGCTCATTCTCTCTGGGACCAAGAGGCCGATAAATGGATCTGATGACTGGGAAGTGCTGCTTGGCTAGAGGTTCTCCCCTGAGGATCTGGGGTCCTGAATGCTGTTGGCCCACCTGGGCTTGGGTGGGCTCCAGCCAGATGAGCATCCATCCCCTCCTGAGTCCCAGAACACAGAATGTCAGAATTGGACAGAAAATATCTGCCCTCCCTTCCTATTGTAAAGAGAAACTGAGGCACAGAAAGGAGCAGACAGTGACCCAAGGGTCCAGCAGGAGCTATTGGCAAAGCCAGGGTTTCCCCAACTGGGCTCGGTCCTGGCTGGTGGCCAGTGACTCACCTCCCTAAGAGGCCGAGGCGGCCCGCGTGGGTGTGGAGTGGGGAATGGGGCCAGCCTTTATCTGCCGTTCCCTTCTGCCCTCTTGTTCCTGGCTTCACCCAGGGAAGTGGGGGATGATTACAAAGTCGAGGGGATTCTGCTTTTTTTCTCCTCACTACTCGCGCCCTTTGTCCTGTGGGTTTCCTTTGTTTTCCTCCTCTCTGGACCCCTGTTTACTGTAAGGAAAACAGATGTTGGAGGAGAGAAATAGAAAGACCCCAGCTGGGAGGCTGCATCAGCTGGGGTGGCGTTGGGCGGTGTGGATCAGGGACCCCCATAGAGGCTGACGTTTCTTATATAAGGAAAGGCTGGAGGTGGCACTCCAGTCCTCTGTGGCACCACAGCTCCCCGGTCTCTTGGCCCTGCCATCCTTAGCAGGCTGCTTTAGCCCTCATGTGTGGTCACCTCATGGTCTCACCTGGGCTGCCCCACCTCCCACTTTATCTCCACATTCCAGGTGAGAGGAGGAGAAGGGCAGAGGGCGCCCCGATAACTTCTGCCCACATCTCATTGGCCAGAACCAGGTCACATCACAGGGCCACCTCTAGCTACAAGAGGATCTGGGAAGCTGAGCAATTCAAACCAGGCACACTGCTGACCCCACACAACTGGGGTTCTGCCGTATAGAAGAGGAGACTGGATCTTTGGGTAGGTGACTAGCAGTACCCGCTCAGTGAGGCTCTGCTCCGTGGTCACAGGACATATGGTGAGCACATGTGGCGTCTCTGCATGGATCACAGAATGAAGCCTGTTCTCTGGGCGGACACAGGCCTTGGCCAAGAGAGAGCAGGCTCTGTTACCCCCACCCCCCACTTCCTGTTTGTGTGCCCTGGTGCAGGCACCTTCACTCTCTGTGCCTTGGTTCCCAATTTGGTCAGGTGAGATATCATTCATCTGCCATCTTCATTTTTGGGTGGGTTGTAGTCCATATTACCTTACTGTTAGGATTTTCTTTAAACCAATTTATTTATTCATGTATGTATTTATTTATTATTTATTTGAGATGGAGTCTCACTCTGTTGCCCAGGCTAGAGTGCAGTGGTGTGATCTCGACTTACTGCAACCTCCGCCTCCCAGGTTCAATTGATTCTCCTGCCTCAGACTCCCGAATAGCTGGGATTACAGGCGTGCACCACCATGCCTGGCTAATTTTTTGTATTTTTAGTAGAGACGGGGTTTCACCATATTGGCCAGGCTGGTCTCGAACTCCTGACCTCAAGTGATCCACCTGCCTCAGCCTCCCAAAGTACTGGGACTACAGGCATGAGCCACCACACACTTTAAATTCATTTATTTAAATAGGAAACGTGACAATACTATAGTAATCCCCACAGCATTAGCAATACTTATCATTGATAACTGTCAACTGGCACAATGGCTCATGCCTGTAATCCCAGCACTTTGGGAGGCCAAAGCAGGAAGATCACTTGAGGCCAGGAGTTTGAGCCTGGGCAACATAGCCAGACCCTGTCTCTACCAAAAAAAAAAAAAATAGCCAGGTGTGGTGGTGCGTGCCTGTGGTCTCAGCTACTGGGGAGGCTGAGGTGGGAGGATTGCTTGAGCCTGGGGGTTTGAAGCTGCAGTGAGCCATGTTTGCACTACTGCACTCCAAGCCTGGGTGACAGTGAGACCCTGTCTCAAAAAAATAAAAAATTTCAAAAAGGATAACTGTCAAATATTCTAAAAGCAAATTGACATGTGTCCTGCCCTGTCCTGTCCTGATGATGGCTTCCAACCGGAGGCCTGCTTTGTCTTTGTTGTAAAGGAATATTTGCTAGGATTAGAAAGGTGTTACAGATGGGGTAGCACCAAACAGAGACCTTCTCCATGTTTGAAAGGAAGTCAAAGAGGGAATCACTGCCTTCCTATGTGCTCTACACCTCCCCAAAACCATCTCCCAGGCCTCCCAGGGATGCCCCGGTGGTGTTGGTGGCTGCTGCCTGGTCTGACAGTCAGCCATGGCGTATACCTACCCTTCCCCACAGAGACATTCTGTCTCCAGACAGCCAGAGACGCTCCAGAATGGAGGTCCTGAGGGAGAAGGTGGAGGAGGAGGAGGAGGCAGAGCGGGAGGAGGCGGCCGAGCGGGCTGAATGGGCGAGGACCGAGAAAATGATGAGGCCAGTTGAGGTGCGGAAGGAGGAAACCACCCTGACACAGGAGATGCTCAGAGACCTGGAGAAGAAGCTGTCGGAGATCCAGATCCCCATCTCAGCAGACCTCCCGTGAGTGTGGCAGGGTGGGGGCCCTGGCAAGGGCAGACCGGGGCTGGGCACAGGGAGACCCAGGCAGAGTGGTGGCGACTGGTCTGGCAGGGTGATCAGTTAAGAGTGAAGGCTTTCTGCTTTCAAATGGCCTGGGCCGAGTGTCCACGCTCCCGCCACTAGCTGTGTGACCTTGGGCAAGTCACTCAGCCTCTCGGTGCCTCAGTGCCTTTATCTGTCTAAAAGTGCAGGTGCTGGCCGGGCGCTGTGGCTCACATCTGTAGTCCCAGCACTTTAGAAGGAAGAGGTGGGAGGATCGCTTGAGACCGGGAGTTCGAGACCAGCCCGGGCAACATAGCGAGACCCCCATCCATCTCGACAAAAAATACAAAAATTAGCCAGGTGTGGTGGTGCCTCTAGTCCCAGCTACTTGGGAGGCTGAGGTGGGAGGGTCACTTAAGCCCAGGAGTTCAAGGCTGCAGTGAGCTATGACTGTGCTACCGCACTCCAGCCTGGGCAACAGAGCAAGACCTGTCTCTTAAATATAAATAAATAAATAAATAAATAAATAAATAAATAAATAAATAAGCAGATGTTAATGATACCTGCTTTCTCAGTAGCTGTGAGGATTAAATGAGGAAGGGATAGAGCCAATGGCAACTCAGTGGAACCAGGGCTCCTGTGTACCAGGCATGGCTTCCCTAATTCTGTCCCTCTTGTGGCACAGGGCCTTTACCAAGGACACTATTGACATCTCCAAGCTGCCTGTTTCCTACAAAACCAACACACCCAAGGAGGAACACCTGCTGCAGGTGGCAGACAACTTTTCCCGCCAGTACAGCCATCTGTGCCCGGATCGCGTGCCCCTCTTCCTGCACCCCCTGAACGAGTGTGAAGTGCCTGTAAGGCTGGCATGTTGAGGGCAGGGCCAGGGAGCCTGGGGCTGGAGAGCAGAGGGCACAGGGAAGTGGGGTGGGTTCTCCAAGGGCACTGGGCCAAATCACAGACCTCCTGTGGACTGGAGTGCTTCTAGTCTGGGGGAAACATAAACTCGAACGCCAGCAGGCCTCAGCAGGCTCAGTACAGAGTACCCTGGAGGGTGGTGGTGGCGGCCTGGAGACCCCATGCCTCACCTAAAGAGGCAGCTGCTGATTGCTGCAGGGAAACTACAGGTGTGGGGCTACCTGATCAAGAGGAGACTGGGGATTTGTGTGGGAGTCTCTGATTTTTAAATGCTGGCAGCTGACATAAATGCTAAACATCGTCACGTGGGCCAAATAAAGCGGGTCTGTGTGTCCCTGTCAGCCAATGGGCAGCTGTTTCCCACCCCCTGGATTAATCCCATGTCATTCCATCTACAGATGGAGAAACTGAGGCCCAGAAAGGCTCAGACACATGCTCTGGGTCACAGGGCTGGAAGGAAGAAGCCAGAGCTTAGGTTCTTATGCCTGTCCTGGTCCCGTTTGTCTTATTTCTCTGTCCTTCGCTGGACAGGCTGACCTCTGAGGCTTCAGACTGTCCTGGCCACCAGCTGGCCCCAGCCCAGAACCTCTGTAGGCCCCAGGGAGAGCATCGCTTCTGGGAGGAGAGCACAGCGCTCCCAGGAACCCCAGGAAACAGACCTGATCTCCTCATTCAGCCCTGACTTGCTGGGTCACCTCAGACAGCTCTCAAGCCTGCTCTGGGCCTCAGGTGTCTCCATGATGCCCTAGGGGTTGAAGGCGGCAAAACTTCAAAGCTCTTCAAAGTCCAGATCCAGAATATGCTTGTGCTGTCTCCAGGTGCTGGCAACGTGATGGGGGCCTCCCAGTCATTGCCACTGCGCCACTGATGGCTGCCATGCGCCAGATCTGGGCGTCACCTTCCCAGCCAAGGGCTGCTCTGCCACCCCAGGGCATGTGGGCCTGGCCTCCTGCATTTGCTCGGGCCTCTAGGGTCCCCCTGTGGATTCGGAGAAGGCCCCAACACTGGATCTCAGAGGTTTTTACTGCCATGACCCCACTGGCACCATCTCTTTCCTTGCAGAAGTTCGTGAGCACAACCCTCCGGCCCACACTGATGCCCTACCCCGAGCTCTACAACTGGGACAGCTGTGCCCAGTTTGTCTCTGACTTCCTCACCATGGTGCCCCTGCCTGACCCCCTCAAGCCGGTAAGTGCCACTCACAGGCTGCATGCCTGAGCCCACTAGGACTAAGATGATGTGAGAAACAAACTCACCCATCCAAACCCAAAGAATGGAGTTACAGGCCGGGCACGGCAAAGTGGGTGGATAACAAGGTCAGGAGTTCAAGACCAGCCTGACCAACATGGTGAAACCCCGTCTCTACTACAAATACAAAAATTAGCGGGGTGTGGTGGCGTGTGCCTGTAATCCTAGCTACTGGGGAGGCTGAGGCAGGATAATCACTTGAACCTGGGAAGAGAAGGTTGCAGTGAGCCGAGATGGCGCCATTGCACTCCAGCCTGAGTGACAAGAGCAAAACTCCCATCTCAAAAAAAAAAAAAAAATGGACATAGAGACCTGGAGAACAGTGAAAGTAAGACTTTGAATGATGGTCTTGCAAGATTGGGTGTCTGATAGGCAGACACACCCAGCACAGTTTCAACAAGCAATTTATCCCCTAGTGTGCAGGTCCCTCCCCTGGTTCTTCACAGGCTAAGTACTATGGGGCCACAATCTTCCCAGACATTGCCTATTGATTGTTAGGCAGGGGCTTTAGGTGTTTTTTCTAGGGTTGTTTTGCGGCATTTTGTTGCAACCCGCAATGCATCGCAATCCTAGTTAGGTCAGGGGCTCTTTAAGTATTTGACTTACGACCTAGGTAACTGGGCAAGCTGATAAGAACAGCTACTCCGGAGGCTGAGGCAGGAGAATGGCGTAAACCCGGGAGGCGGAGCTTGCAGTGAGCTGAGATCCGGCCACTGCACCCCAGCCTGGGCGACAGAGCGAGACTCCGACAGAGCGGGACAAAGCCAGCTATTTAGCAGACTAGTAAACTTTTATCTTAGGCTAAACTTTTTTGGTTTGAGTGAGGGCAGCTAAGGCGGTAGGTAAGGCGGTAGGTAAGGCGGAGGAAGGAGGAGGCTGACAAACAGGCATTGGCTATTCAAGCAGGGGCCTAGTATATCCTGGGTTTTTATTTTTGGTAGTTTGCTGACCTAAGCAGATTCAAGGCACTTTTCTTTGGAAACTGATCACTGTGTACATTATTTCCTTCAATGGGATGCCAGGCATGGTCTGGGAAAAGGAAGTTCAGCCAGACTCAGGGCACAGCCTCTCAGGGCCCTAAGGGCAAACAGGCCCAGAGAGAGACAGCCCCTTGCCTGAGGACACACAGCAAGCCTGGGCTTCTGGTTCCCACCTCTTTTCTCCTTTGCGTTCAGAGCTTCCCTGAAGAGGTGCAGGAAAGAGAAGGGAGGCCCGGCTACCCATGACCCTAACCCCATCTTTGGGCTTCTGATCAACTCCATCACCTTCTCCTTCAGAATAGAGGGAGGGAGGAAGAAAGGGCGAGGTCAACAGTGGAGAACTGATAAAGGGAGGAGGAGGAAAGGTAGGGATCAAAGGAAAGGGGAACATTGGAGTGAAACAGTAAACTTACCAATCAGAGGGCATTAGATCAGACACTTCTACAGTCCAAAAGGTTTTCTCTATCAGGAAGTCCATAGCCCCTTCAAATGACAGGCAAATGTGAATGGCATGGTGTCTGGTTTTCATTCCATTCTTAGCAGGCTCCCTGACCCCACAAGGGTTAGGGGCCCAAAGCAGGTCCAGCCTGTGCATTGGTCCTGGCTCCCCGCCCTGACAGGTGGTGGGCTGTGACTGGTGAGGAGGACAGGCTGGGGCAGTGGAGCCCCAGCTGTGCTGACCGTCCATCCCACTATGACCAGCCCTCGCACCTGTACTCCTCGACCACTGTGCTCAAGTACCAGAAGGGGAACTGCTTTGACTTCAGCACGCTGCTCTGCTCCATGCTCATTGGCTCCGGCTATGATGCTTACTGCGTCAACGGCTACGGCTCGCTGGACCTGTGCCATATGGACCTGACGCGGGAGGTGTGCCCACTCACTGTGAAGCCCAAGGAGGTATGGTCGGGCTCGAGCTGCCTGGGTTTCCCAAAGGATGCACATTCCCGGTGCTGTCGTGCCATTCTTAGAGACATCCATCCCTGCTGCCTCATCCCCGGCCCTGGCCACGTGGACAGAGATCCCTCACAACCAGCCCTTCCGCTGCCCTGGAGTTCATATTTCAAACCACCAGTGATTTATGTCCTCAATGTCTTAACACATCCAGCCCAGTTTTCCAAGCTGGCTGTTCTTCTCTGTCTGTTGTAACTCAGTTTTCAGTTACTATGCTCCCTGCTTGGTAAATTTTATGAATGCCACATAGCTTATATCTTAAGTCAAACGATTCCAAATTTACCCTATGCATTTGATAAAAATCCAGCCAGCCATTTTTATATAAGAAAATAGGCCGGGTGTAGTGGCTCATGCCTGTAATCCCAGCACTTTGGAAGTCCGAGGCGAGTGAATCACTTGAGGTCAGGAGTTCGAGACCAGCCTGGCCAACATGGCGAAACCCCGTCTCTACCAAAAATACAAAAAAATTAGCCAGGCGTGGTGGCGTGTGCCTGTAGTCCCAGTTACTCAGGAGGCTGAGACAGGAGAATCACTTGAACCCAGGAGGTAAAGGCTGCAGTAAACTGAGATTGCGTCACTGTACTCTAGCCTGGGTGACACAGCAAGACTCCATCTCAAATAATAAATAAAAAATAACAGACAAGTGGACAGACATTTGGTTCTCAGTCCCACACTCCCGAGGTAAAAAGCCCCCCACCACCCTGCTTTTTTTTTTGAGATGGGGTCTCTCCTATTCTGTCACCCAAAGCTAGAGTGCAGTGGCATGATCTCAGCCCACTGCAACCTCAGCCTCCCAAGTGGCTAAGACTACAGGCATGTACCACGATGGCCAGCTAATTTTGTTTGTTTTTTGTAGGTTCTTACTATGTTGTCCAGGCTTGTTGTGAACTCCTGGACTCAAGCAATCATCCCGCCTCAGCCTTCCAAAGTGCTGGGATTATAGGCATGAGCCACGGTGCCTGGCCTTCAGGCCCCTTTTTAATAGCAAAAAGAAAAAAGAAAAAAAAGAAAATCACTAACCCTTCAGTGGCTGGTGGCTGTGCTTTTAGATTTGCTCATTAAGAATTCCATAAGGACCAGAGGCTGCTGCAGACATAAGAAACACTCTGAAATGAATATCAGAATCACAAATGCATCTCTTTACATTTAGACAACAGTCATACTACAGACAGAAAATGCTCTACATGAGGTGGATTAATTCCAGGACTCTGGGATCAGGGTCAGGCTCCCGTGGGTGTCTGCAGCTTGGGGATGGGGATCGAGGGGCCTGAGGCACTCAGCAGGATCACTCTGTAGCTGTGTTATACTTGGGTGAGCACCCAGGGACCCCAGGGTGGGTGCTCCGGTGGGAGAAGGGCGAGATAGAAGCGGAGGCACAAGAAGAGCCTTGCTCTCTCAGGCCTGCCTCCCCAAGAGAAGATGGAGCATGAGCTCCGCCATGGCTTTTGGCTTCAAAAGCCTCGGTCTGGGCGTGGTGGCTCATACCTGTAATCTCAGCATTTTGGGAGGCTGAGGCAGGTGGACCACTTGAGCCCAGGAGTTCCAGACCAGCCTGGCCAACATGGCAAAACCCCATCTCTACTAAAATATAAAAATTAGCTGGGCATGGTGGTACATGCCTGTAAACCCAGCTACTCTGGGTGCTGAGCCAGGAGAATTGCTTGAACCTGGGAGGTGGAGGTTGCAGTGAGCTGAGATTGCACCATTACACTCCAGCCTGGGCAACAGAGGGATACTCTGGCTCCAAAAAAAAAAAAAAAAAAGGAGCCTCTGAGCTCCCACCTGGGCATCTCAGCCCTCTCAGCTCAGCCAAAAGCTTAATGATTAACGTTATATCAATAACAAACAGATGCAGAGAATTTTCGGGTTTAAAATCCACTTTTATGTCCATTGCGCTCGTTGCTGCCCATGATGACCCAGTGTGGTAGGTATTGTCACTTTTATTTTACAGATGAGTATGTTGATGAAATCAAAAGGTAACATAATGTGGCCAAAGTCACACAGCGGGAAAATAGAGGCTCAGGAACTGAAGCCCGGGTCAGGTGAACTTGAAACCCTGGAGTTTCACTATTTCTCCTTCATAACTATCACAGGCCCACTTCTGCAGCCTCTGCAGTGCACTTTCCTGGGAACACTTCTTACCACCTAGCACATATTTGTACACACGCAAGTGTACACGTGTATACACACACACCCACACACGCACACACACAGAGTTTATTCTTCCTGGCCCAACAAATTCTTAAAGTCAACATATGAGGCCCTCTGATGACAAGATCTGAAAAATCCAACTCCTGACAATTCTCCCCACTTCTGGATCAGACCCAGGTCATGGCTAGGATGGGTGCTGAGGATTGAAGAGGAGAAAGCCACACCTCCTGAGCTCCTGGCCCTGATGGGTACCTCCCTCGCACATTTTTTCTGTCTTCACTTCTCAGAAAGAGGCTGGGGAGAAAGTTCCTATTATTCTCACACCATGGACCTGAGATTCAGAGAGGTGAGAGGACTCTCAAGGTCAGGGAGCTGGAGCTGGGGCTCCCTCTGCATTTAGGGCCAGAAAGGCCACAGGCTACAGGAGTAGCTGCCATCCCCTGGTCCGAGGGACTGGCTGGGCAAGTCTCACCTCTTGGAGTTGCATGTGTGAAGTGGGGATGCAGGGCCACTGACCCTTCCTCTTCTTTTGGGTGACAGACCGTCCAGAGGGAGGAAAAGGTTCTGCCTAAGAAATACACCATCAGACCCCCCAGGGACCTGTGCAGCAGGTTTGAGCAGGAGCAAGAGGTAAAGAAGCAGCAGGAGATCAGAGCCCAGGAGAAGCAGCAGCTGAGGGAGGAGGAGGAGCGCCTCATGGTGGGTCCTCAGCCTCAAACCCCTGGGTTCAGCTATCGAGAAATGACTGCTAGGGATGGGAAAAGAGGCACAAGTCATGGAAGGGATGTGTGTATGGACCCCCCAACTAGGTCCACCTCACAATCACCCGCGACCTCTACCCGGCCCTGCAGGAATCTCCCACTGGTGGTCAGCCAGCTTCTCATGATGGACTTCTAACATCAGGGCACTGTACTGCCTAGGGTAGCCCATTCTATGCTAGGCAGCTCTGGTGTCCTCTTTGCTTTAGACTCTTACAGGGGATATACCTGCATACACTCTCCCATCCATTCATCCTCCTATCTCTCCTCCCATCCTTCCTCCCATCCATCTTCCCATCTGCCCATCCATCCATCCATCCTCCCATTCATCCTCTGATCTCTCCTCCCATCCATCCTCCCATCCATCCATCCTCCCATCCATCTATCCATCCATCCATCCTTCCATCCATCCATCCTCCCACCCATCCATTCTCCCACCCATCCATCCTCCCACCCATCCATCCTCCCACCCATCCTCCCATCCATCCATCCTCCCATTTCTCCTCCCATCCATCAT